GCTAGTCATGGACTGAGCCAAGTTGAAATGTATCGCGCAGGACTCTAAGCAACCTTGGAGATGGGCCAACCAGGTTATTCGACCTGTGTCTGCTGGTTGTGGCCTGGGTCAAGAAGACCGTCGCACGCCTTAGCACCATCTGATGGGCTGGCCTCAGCAGCGGGGTGCGGTTGAGCTATCTGTCATTACCCCACCCCTTCCCTGTCAGCGCCGCCAGGATGGGTGATTTTATTGCTGTCTGTGTTTTTGCAGGTGAGAGAACCTGACTTTAGGCCGAGGACGTCCCTCGCTGAACGGGCACACCGGTGTAAGCCCAATGGCCTTCAAGGTTCCAGATGTGTGGACTCCCAAAGCCCAGATACCCTCCCTGCCTGAGGACCCAGGTCGAGTAATATTCTCAGAGCCTTCCATGTGAAATCTGCCGCCCCGCCCTGCCTCGCACATGCTCCCGTGCCAGAGTGGATGTGTGACGGATGCCAGGGCAGGGAATGACAGGGGGTTTTGGACTGGTGCCAGGCCCCAGGCAGCAAGGAGGAGAGGAGGATCCTGAGGTCTTAGCCGCTGGAAAAGCCCTGAGCTCTCAGAGCACTGCCAGTTATCGCTCTGGTTAGGTTCCTGTACAAACAGATAAAATCGGGGTGATGCTTACAGAACACGGCACATGTTAGCAACCCGACACACAGTTTGTTGTTCAGTGGGTCTTGGGGCCGACTCTTCGAGGAGGCCTGGCAGAGGGGGGGGTGAGGCTCCAGCCTGATCCTGTAGCTTCAAGCGCCTGACGTGTGTGGCGGGGCGGCGGGGGCGGGCTCCCTGGGCGGGCAGCCCCCTCGGACGCGGGCGGGGGCGTGTGTGTGGCTGGCGCTGCGGCTCGGGGCGGGCGCTGGGTTTGTCTTGGGGTCCCGCCGGGGGGGCACACCGCACAGGTCGAATCTGGTGTTTCAGATGAATTCCGGGGACGTGGTCAGAGGAGCTGAGACGGCCCACATGGCTCAGGCCAGGGTGGACGATTGGTGACGATGGGGAGAACGGCACCGCTCACTTCTCCTTCACCCGAAAGTTCCATGTGAGGTCTCGGCCTCCCTGTTGTGGTCACAGGCTGCCTGTCAGGAAGCTGCACCCCTTGCCACACCCTCAATTGCACAAAGCGACCCGAGGCAATGACTGCATCAGTCTGCCTAATCTCACTGTCACCACAGTGTAAGGTCTTGTATAGATCCCAGTCCTAGTTAGGCTGCTGAGCCTGCCTGTGTGACTGAGACACACGTCCACTGGCCCAACCTAGTTCTTAGTTTGACATTTGTCATGAAAGGGAGCCTGTGCAGTATTACGTTCACGGATGTGGATAAATGATAAAAAACCTGGTTCGGCAAGCAGCCCTTTGCCCAGTCCAGCTCCCTCCTGTAAATAGCTTGGCACAGATCCCTGCCACCTCGTGAGGGGGTGACACTGGAAGAGGGCACCGCCTGCCGGATGGAGACCACAGCGTGTCTGACGTCTTAAAAGCAATCCTAAGAAAAGCGTCTAGAGCTTGAGGGCCCCACCTCTACCACTTAATGGCTTGTGGCCTCTCGGCAGCGTACAACTGTGCTTCAACTCAGCCCCAGTTGGCCTAATCTGGGAAATGGAGGGGCTTATAATATCGAGAAACTGGGGCGTGAAGGGGTCTCCAACATTGCCCTGATTTGGGAGGATGAAGGTCGAGGTGGTCTATCGGTCGGGGGACAAGCGCTGCCGGACCATCGCAAGGGACCTGTGGCTAGGTAGGCATGGCCCACCAAAATGAGGGGGAAAGCAGCTTGGTGGGGTAGCGGGGAAGACCAGTGAAGGCACAGCACGTAAATGGACCTCCAGCAGGCCGCTCTTAAGAAGGACTGGATAGGGTGGCTCCCACCAGCCAGAAAGTCTGAGGTTCATCTCACTCCCTCAGACATGGGCTGCAGCCAGGGTCAGTGGCAGGCCCACTCTGAGCTGCAGCAGGGGATGGAGATGTCCCACACACATCCCTTCATCTTGGCCTTGGAGTCCCAGACTGAGGACAAGAGGTTGGAGTGGTGGAAGGACACCAATCAGAGAGCTAGAGAGGCAGCTGGGTCAGCCCCAAACCTCAGTCCCCCAGAGAACTCCATCGGCTTTCATTTTCCAGGGTACCTAGAAGTTTACTCCAGTCTCAAGTCCACGTGCCCAAGGCAGGACAACTCTGCCACTCCCAGGGCGGGGGCCGACCTCCTAGAAATACCAATACCACAGACACTGAGAACAGCCGTTACTCTGTGCATATGCGAGATCTGTCTGAACAGACCTTGTAGCTGGTTCGGCATGAGTTGTGTAGAATGCAGCTGTTTTGTGTCCCAAAAAAAGAAGAAACATCAAGTGCTGAGACCCTAAATGTGTTTGTTCCTGAACATAGCCACTCTTCCTAGGTGCCACGGCGCCTGGCTGGGACTCTTTGAATCCTCTCCCAAGATGGGGGCACATCATGTCTTCTGGAGACCCCTCAGGATTCATTAGAGAACTGACAGTCCCTTGGTA